CATACTCGATTCTGAAGACAAAGCGGTAGGTCCAGTACTGTGAACAAGGGTGACAGCCCTTGATGGTATGCACCATGGAGACGGGTATTTGAGACGTGGCCATTGAGCTGAGGATGTGTCCTAGAACCTGAAACATGGCCCAGAGGTAGTGTGGTCTTTATGACATCAACGGATGGCTTTCGCAAACCATTTTTTAGAGCGGGAATAGCTCGTCGGAGGGAGGGGAATAGGGACGCGAGAGACGCGAGGATGGAGCACCATATCGATACAAAGGCGAATTGGATGATTGTAAGAGTAATTGGTTTTGGAAGAGTATTCAGGATGGACTTGGAGGAAGTGTTGGTGAGAGCGGAGGTCATATACCAGATGACGCAGAGACCCTATTCGGCCATACATCACGAATTGGATTAGATTTTCTCAACCTCCGCAGGAAAAAAGAGTGAACACAGCCAAAAAGAGAAAAGAAAATAAAAGAAGAGCGTACAATGAGTTTATACGACACAGGAGCTTTCAAGGCCTCCGCGAGCTCCTGGGCATTGACACTGACGCTTGTGCCACGATCTCTAAAGCCGTCGATGGCTTCACTGATACTTTTTCGCGGGCGCTGTTTAGGACCCACGGGAGAGAGAGAAGCTTGTTTCCGCGGCATCCATCTGGTAGGCTGTGAGTAGTGTAACGACTGATGAGCAAAGAGGGGGTCATTGTTGAGGCCGTTCTGGTCGGCCGTGACGGGCGCAACGGTGTCGTCGAAGAGCGGGAATTTATCCAACGGCGAGTCCTGGGAGGTGGTGGACGTGGCCATCTTCGTCTTCCAATTGGGCGACAGCGCAAACGAATGCAGGCCCGTACCAACAACTGTTGTGGTGCTCATGCTCGGGCCGGGGTCAAGCAGCGAGGAGACAGTGTGTTGGTGGTGGTGGACGTTGAAGGTGGCTGTTTGAGAGGTGTTGGAGAGAAATGTTCTTGAGAGGATGATGATGACGACGAGCGGCCACACCTGTGGTATATCATGTGACAGTACAATGAGTCCCGTTTGCGAGCTAGTGAGGGTTGTTTTAGACAACCCCCGGCCCAAGCTAAACCGGGCCTGGCAGCAACCATGGATGCAAATGTCATTAAATCTATCTAACTATTACCACCGTTCTGGTCACTGGCTGGAATCGCACGCATACAGCGTAGTGATTATCACCCCTGAATATTCGTTGAAAATCCCTATTAAATTAGCACGGGTGCCGCCCAAATAATCCCGCAAACCGGAATTAACTCTACCTCTCCGGCATGATGAAGCCATAAAAGTGATCAACCGCTTTTGGGGGGAAATTAAGGAACATCGGTTAGCCATTGAGGCACAACCTCGAGGGAAAGAGGCGTGGCAATCACCGGTAAATTCGTTGACCAGGACTCGCAAATAACGATCGCACCATCCTTCTACATACTACTCTGTACTCTGCTGCTATTGGAGCTTGGGTTTTATTGGAAGCTATTAGCTATTTGAACTTGCGCTTGGCGGCACAGCTCCTGGAGAATAGTTATGCCGTGCCGCCCGGTTGACCATTTCCTGAGAAGTTGAATTCAAGCTCAATGAGATATACCCACACATTCTTAGATCTCTCTCACCCAACCGCCAGCCTTCTTGCTGCGTATATTCCAGGGGCAGCACGCTTTTGCCGCCGAAGGACATTAGAGCCAAGCATTTATATACCCAAGCACCTAGGTACTACGCAGTATATAACACTGGAGAGGATAGCGCTGCTATTCATTTTGTGTTCACTGATTGAGCATGTCTTACAATTGACGCGGCAAAATGAGTCTGGCGGACTTCATTGGTTTTGTATTTTTTAATTCTGACTCTCTGGTATACCCCATATCGTCGTATCTAAAAAAAAAATAGTTACTAAACGATGATGATGATGATGATGATGATGCTTCATTTCGATAACGGTAAAGGAAGTTAAAACAAGCAGTGTGTCTTCCACGAATAATGTATCCCTTGTTAGCCGAACCCTTTTTATTGTCACGCTCATCGTTTATTTTATTATTATTTTGGCTTCATTATGCATTGGGGGCAGACATCAATGCAGTGCCCATGCTACAGCCAGCAGAATCGGATATGGATGTGAATAGAAGTCCAGCATCAGTTTCTATCTTGGGAACATGGCATGTTCTTGGTCCGTTTAAAACTGGCACAAGAGGTAAGTAAGTATATCAATTCATATATTTGCTGTTAAAGCAACACCAACAGGAACAACAACAAATATATAATAGATATGCTGAAAAACTAATTTCCGTTTGCATAAAACACCTGCAGAAGCAACATGGGGCGCAGATCCGCTCGAGGTACTCGGCGGATTCCGCAATATTTCGTATGACTCCGACCCGGCTGCTAGATTCAGCAGTGCCTTGGGTGCCAACGGAACCGTTGGCTGGTCTGTCCTGGGGGTGATCGAGTCAGAACAGGGCAATCATGCATCTGCCAAGGCAAAGGTTGACCTCGACATCGGTTTTCCGGATGTAGACTGGGAGTTTCTCCGGTCTGTTTATGGCTGGGCGGGAATGCAGTATCAGGCCTGGGCGCGGGGGTGTTTGACTGTGGCGTCTGGAGCTGGAGCTGATGACCGCAGCGGTGGTAATACAGCTACCGTCTCCATGTTTACAGACGGACTGCTAGAGGTATGGGTTGACGGACAGCTGTATTTCGGCGGCGATTTTTATACATATCGGCGGGCGCCCGTGCTTTTGAAACTGGTGCCTGGGCCACATGTTGTTGACATCAGGTTGGTGAGGGATGTGAGGGCGTTGGGTGGGGTGGGCGAACCACGGATACGAGCTGTAGTGGAAGTTCAGTTGATGCAGTCTTCCCTGTCCAGTGACAGCACTGACGCCGGTGAGGTGGTGCCAGGCCTAGTTGTGGACGAGGATAGTGTTCTTGTTGCAGAAGTCGTGGAGGGGAAACTTACTAGTTCCCTTGCTTCTGTTATCGTACGGAATGTTCGTGATGAATGGGCCGATATAACGGATATCGATTCTGTTTCTGATACGCAATCCGCCAGGCCTATTCTCTCATTGGTCAATAGTCCAATTACCCTCGCTCCACGCCAGTCGCGCCCAGTAGCTTTTAAGATCGATTTCGACGGCCCAATCCCCTCAAACTTCTCCCTCCAACTCACCTATAAGGTCCAGTCTGCGAATCAACCGTGGAAAACAAACCCTGTGACTGCGCCCGTCACAACGCGGAGGATGACAGATGCCCAAAAGTATACTTTCCTCCACCCCGGCGGCATAGTATCCTACGCCATCTTACGGCCCCCGTTGAATTCGTCCTGTAATTCCACCGGCGGCGGCGACGGTGATCATACACTCCCCATTCTAGTTGACCTGCACGGCGCGGGCCTCGAAGCTGCTAGTGAGCAGGTTAGACATATGCTGGATGCTGCCTATGGAATATGTGCATGGATGCTGTTCCCGACAGGTGTCACACCATGGAGCGGGGATGATTGACGTGAGTTCTACTTCCTATTTCATGAGGTAGAAGAGGTTTATACTGATTCTTGCTCACGTGGATGATAGATACTTGGGGCGCCGCCGATGTGCAGGCTGCGGTTGATGCTATTCCAGCTTGGATGCAGGCGGTGGGTTGGGACGGGTTGGGGGTGTCCTTGGACGATTGGCTTGTGTCTGGCCATTCGAATGGAGGCCAAGGGACCTGGTTCTTCCTCACGCATCAGCCTGATAAACTTATCGCTGCTGCTCCGGTTTCGGGATATTCGTCCATCGAAAGTATGCTATAACCGATATTATTTGAATAACATATTCGTGGACATTGAAAAGGAAACTAACGTCAACACTTCTCCCCATCCCATTTCAGATTACGTGCCATTTACCATGTGGCATGATGCACAAGCTGCTATCGCAAGCGTCATCCAGACAGCTCGGCAGAGTTTCAAGCATGAATTGCTTGTGGAAAACTTCGCTGGAATCCCCATTCTCCAACAGCATGGTTCTGCAGACAAAAACGTCCCTGCATACCATTCACGCCTATTGCACCAGCTAATCTTGGAAAATGGCCGCCACTCCGAATACTATGAACTTCCAGAAAAGGGTCATTGGTTTGATGGCGTCTTAACCACGCCCCCACTACTAGATTTCTACTCTCTCCATACTAGCAATACTTCCGCCTACAGCAACCTTCTGCCCGAGAAATTCTCCTTTTCCACCCCTAACTCAGGAGATATGGGGTCCCGAGGCGGCATCATGGTGGACCAACTGTCCTCGCCAGATAAATACGGACACATGCAAGTGATGCGCGAAGGGGGGGCAAGGCAGTGGCGCCTGAAGACTCGTTATGTGCATCGTTTCCATCTTGTCCCATCAAGAATGCGTGGGACAGCATACCCCACGGATATCGTGGTGGTGGATGAAAATGATGGTTCTGAAACGCCATTTAGAGCCCCGCCCGCTGACACCGCTTACTCCTCATGGTTCGTCAAAGATGAGGCCACGGGCAAGTGGACTGTTTCTACCGATAATTCATGGCAGGACGATATCTGGCAGCGGTACGGTCGGCAGAATGGCGCCATGGATGCGATCCTTCATTCGATGGGTAGATTTACTATAAGGATCTGCTCGCCCGCCAGCAGTGGAGAGGAGCAACTAATGAACGTAGCGCTGCAGATCAGCCGTAACTTGCTACAGTATTTCGCGGCAGATTCGCAGATTCTACCACCACAAACTACATGCAACAGCGATGACAATGATAATCGCATGATCGAAGAAGAGGAGGAACTGCGCGGTTCGGGAAACCTCATCACCATTGCAATCGGGAATGACTTGCCACCGCCACCCTTATCCGCCCTCGACTTGTTCCCTATCCACATCGCCCATGACCACCTGACAATCCACACTGCAGCCTCTAACAGCCACTCATCTCGCACAACCACAAAATCTTACCCCTTTGTACCAGACCTAGGGGCCATATTTCTGCGTCCACGCTCGCGCCAACGTCTCGAGCTGGTCGTATGGGGCGCAGACGTAGGCGGGCTACAGCAAGCGAGCCGCCTCGTACCACTTCTGACGGGCGTTGGGCAGCCTGATTTTGTGGTTCTGAGTGAGCGATGTCGATGGCAGGGTTTTGCTGGCGTGCGTGCTGCTGGATTTTTTGACTTCCGGTGGCAGGTTTCCTCGGGGTCGTATGTGTACTGATTGTAATGCGATGATTATTTGTTTTTGCTGTTCTTCTTCTTCTTCTTCTTCACCAATGTTTTGCCGTCTAATATAGGAGTGGCTAGATATGGTGTTTTCTTTCTTCTTATTTGGCGAAATAGATACCC